CCCTGTCCCTGCCAGGGTCACTACTGCACCAGTCTCCTCTAGGTACCAACTGCATATCCCTGCCCCTTCCTCCAGTCTGCTGATGGTACCACAGCAGCTTCTGACCTTTTTTTTTTTTTAAAAAAACAACCCAACCAACCAACCAACCTCAAAAACCCCTCTTCCTCGGTTACTTTCCAGACAGACCAGTGTGCTGATGATGTGAGGGAGCAAACAGAAAAGCAGGCCATGCTAAGGCACAGGTAGGCCAACCTTTTCACAGCATTTTTTGCTCATCTGGCATTAACAGCTCAGTAACATTATTCCACGCACCACTTCAATGGCAGCAAATTTCCATTTGATGAACTTCAGTTGAACACTGAATTACATGAAGGATGTATATCCATGCTCAGAGTGGATGTTGCAGTAACTGAGCCACCATAACAGGATGGCACCGGGGCACTGTACTGCTGTACAGCTTGTTCTCTCAGAAGCAGGGATTAATAAAATCATATAAAAACACCAAAATAACCACTATAAACCACCAAAGTTTGAAATTCAATCACTTTCCTAACTTTAGTGGTTGCACTCATAAAAGCCCAGCCATTATAATCAACAGGAGGTTTTAACTTCCAGAGGTTTTTGGGACATAAAAGTATGTTAGAAAACATAAAACTTCATAAAATAATTTTCTTCTAAAGAAGCCTAAGGATCAAAATGCAGTCAGTCACAGTTTCTGTGACAGGAAGTTATCTCTGGATACTCAACTGCATGTAATCTTCCACTGAATCTCTTTTCTCCTCATGCCCAAGAGGAAACAAAACAAATTTATTCACCATGAACACTGGTGCAGCCATCACCTAACATCACTTCGTTCTGGGGAAAACTAGCACAAAGCGGACACAGATATAACTGAATGAGACACAAACCTAAAAAACCCCCAAACCACCCAAAACCCAAACCCAAACCACCCCCTCAAAAAACCAACCACAAAGGGTTTAAAGTATTTCCAAAATAGATATTTTACTTAGACGGAGGATATGCCAGAAGTATGACCAGGATAACCTCTAAAACCAGACAAAGCCAAAAATAATCCCAGGAGACCTCCAGATTTGAGATCCATGCAACCAGACCACTAACCCAAACTCTAAAATCCACATTTAAGACCAAGTCAAGGCCTTATCTAATTTGAGAAAACCACTAATGAAGATGATAACCTCTGGTAAACAAAACATCACATCAGGTTTTTGTGTGTTTGTTTTCAAAAGACTTACCCAGCTATAGTTACCTAAGAGACAGAGATTGCTGCCCTCAGTCATAAGTGTTTTTGCTGTGGCTACAGAGCCTTAGGCGATGGTCACAACAGCTGTGCTGAACAGTAAAGCAAGCAAAGAATTTTTTCCCAAAATTAGAAATATGCTATTTCCAAAAATGGGAGCAAAAGACAAAAGGTAATGAAAAATACTGCTGAAGAAAGGTTTAATTAAAAAAATCAGGAATTCAACAGTGCCTAAATCTTTATTTTTCATAACCTACATATTTTTTTTCAAATTAGACAGTTTTACATTTTATGACACAAAAGGAAACTTAAATTACTGATAGTTTACATGTAAGCTTGATTCCAGTCTTAATGGAAGAAGAACAAAAACAAAAACCCTCCAGAAGGCTCCCATATTACACTTCTATTTCATGAGCTGGCAGCTGTTAGGTCTCCCTGGAAATCTTCGATTGTCTGCTGCTGTAGTGTAATAGGTTACAAAGCACATCAACCCCTGACTGTAGCGAGCTGAAGGAGATGCAGAGATAGGTGTGCACCATTACAGTCAGCTGTTGCTCCCGATACACTGCACCGCACTCAAACAAGGCCCTTCCTGCGCCAGCCGCTCACGTCTTTGAAGGGTAACGCAGCAACGCCAGAAGTGTGCCACTCTCCACAGGTTTCACCGTGGCAAATGACAGCGTCAGGGTGGGGGACTGATCTGAAACAAGATGAGGTTTTAAAAGCAACCTTTGGGGTTTGTTTTTCTTTTTTTTTTTTTTTTTTTTTTTTTTTTAAGTTCCTGGAAGAAGAGTCTCAGACCCCATTTAGGCTTGTTTTCAAAATGAAAAGCATCACCACACAATCATACAAGGTAAATGCCAATTTTAATTGCTGTATCCCCGAACCTTTAACTCAGATACTGCTTTTGGGAGGTTTTTCACTTTAAAAGCCACATTTTAATCTCTCTATGTATCGTAGCAACAGTCTGCATGCAACTTCACAACTCTACTCCGAAAACTCCATTTTGTCATTGAGTGGTAAAAAAAGATAAATCTCAAAGTAAAACGCAGTAAGGATAAGTTGTATATTACACAGCTATTTGGCGTGTCACTTTTTTTTCTTTTTAAAAAAGCTATAAAAACCACATCAGAGGAAAGTTTAAACTTTCGAAGCAACAGACCGTTGCTGGGTAAGCAGTAATTACAGTGTATTGACCTAGCACAAACGGCAGCAGAATACATTAGAACAGCACAACACATCCTGCTGGTCTCAGTATTTCACCTTAGGCACCAGCCGAGCGCGACGCCGAGCCGCACGCGGTCGCTGGAAGGAGCCGCTCGCGATGGTTTGCAGCTGGTAAAGCCTTTCACTTGCAGCAGACAAACAAAATGAATCATACAGCTGGCCGAAACCATACACACATCTAGCTACCGTTTTCACTGCCGCTGGGGAAAGGAAAAGCGTATTCAAAATCCAAGACAGAACTGGTTCAGTGGTTTTGGGGATGGTCAGAGTCCTATCTCCTCCCGCCGCGTGCACAAAGTGCGCTGCTCAAACAAGAAAAATCAACAGACTCCAGCGTGTCCTATTTTGACCAATTCTGCAGCATACAACAGGCTGGATTTTAAAGGTCAACCAGTTACCAGTTGATGCTTGTAACAGGAAATTTATCAGGAGTCAACTTCTAGAGTTACTTTACAGTTGTATGAACCATACGCTAAGGAAAGCGCTGATATTCTTGAAAGCAGACAGGTAAGCTTCATTGTATAGTTCTGTAGCAGTCAAAGGTTTTTTTACCAATTAAATTTGATTTTATTAAGGACTTAAAAATTACAGTCTGTCTGCTGAAATCTGCTATTTACATCGCAGGACACTTGATTTGGTTAAATCGCTTGTTTTTGGAGGGACTTAGGAAAACACTTGAGGGCTTTCAAATAAGACTTTCATTCCGTTTCCCTTTTGCAGTGAAGAGGCAGAGTCAGTTCAGCACACCAGAATAAAATAAGAGAAAGAAAAAACAACAAATTAAAGTAATATTCAAACCACAACATTTAGTTTATCTACATCCAGCTCAACAGCAACATTTATAATATCAATAATTTTTATCAGATTTTTTTCTTTAGGGTACCTTTTTATATGTTCTGATTATTTACAACTGTACAAGCAAAGCACACACTTCCAAGTGCACATATTTAATACAGTATTGACTATTTGCATTTACAGGTTTTTCAACAATCTGAAAAAGATCAACTGTTTAAGATCTTTAAGGTATATTACAAAAACTGCTGCTAGTTCCTGTACTACAGTATGTTTACCCAGTAAGACCAGTGACAATAGATACATACTGTAACTGAGTAATTCTGTATTCCACTCACGCTAACCCTCCACGGGGTCAGACCTCATTAACTCTAAGCTGTCTTGTACAAAAGTTAAGGCAAAGTCATTTTCAAGTTTAAATAAAATTCAAGTCTTTAAATATTGGATGGAAATAATTCTTTAAAAAAATCAGTTGTTTAAATAAACATTTTTGTGGAATAAACCGTACTGTCATAGTCAGCAGG